ATCAATTATTTTGTTATGTCTTGCATATAATTATTATATGAGATTATTTTGACAATGAACGAGTTCTTTGGGCCACAAATATGGAAAATTGTAACGTTACAATCATGAGAGGACCAATTATAATTGCTATTGAATGATGTTTTAATTCATAAATGAAATATAGCATCATGTTTTTAAAAAATAAAAATAAAAAAAGTTTTCATATTCTGTGACCTTAGCCAAGCTGACAAGGAAATAAACAAGAAATTACCCCTGGTATCTGCATTTTTGCTATTTTGTTCATTTATAAGGAATATCATGAAAAAAATGTTTTTCTCCTAATTTTGTTATTGAGGAGAAGCACATTTTTCAAAAATATGAAAAGTAGGTGTGAGTTTATGGAGTACAGCTTAGAAAATTCAGAAAGACTCTTTTACTATGAACGAAATGTAGTAAAAAAAAATCCGTCAAAATTCTGTTTTACAATTTTTGATGTAACTATGAAAAGGGTAGAAAAAATCAAAAATAGAAAATAGAAAATAAAAGGACAATTTTTCCTCTTCCTGTTTTGCAGTAATTAGAAACAGTACAGATAATTTGTTCAGAGTGGATTGTTGGAAGGTTAACCTTTTCACCACTGTAAACTGTAATGGACTCATCCAGATCAGTGCATGGTACTAAAGTTACATAGGGGTGAAAGGGTTAACATAAAATTTATATTTTGTATTTAAGGAAGACTATTTTTAGAAGTGTTACTGTTGCAGAAACTATATAAACAGTTATTCCATAAAACAGGTGATTTTTTCACATTTTAAATTCAAAATAAAATTCTGCTGACTTAAGTTAAAATCAAATGAAGCCTGTCATGTATAAACAAAGATAAGTAATAAAAGATATTATTTTTGAGATTACCGATTATGATAATAATTATATTATATCACATTTTGTTACGCAAAAAAAAAAAAGAATTGCAGAATTCCCAACTGAGGTTAAAAGCAATGACACATTTTTTTAATAATTTGAAATTATTAAGAATTATCATATATCATTTGTGTTTCTTCTGGTATTTTACACAGCAATTTGAAACTTAACTGTTTTAGAAATCAATTTGAATTTACATTGGAAATGCTATATCTTCTACCAATAAAAGATCTTCTTACACTTATGAGAGAAAATATTTACATCACAAGTTTCCAATAAATCTTCCATCATGAAGAAATATATTAGTGGAGGCACATTTACAAACAGATCGTTGCTCATATGAATTTGAGGAAGTGAAACTATTATTATTTCAGGTATCCCAAAATGATTTCCGGAGTAAAATTGTCTGAATATGGTGCCACTCTGTGGGACGTCCAGTGGGGTATCATAATAAGTATTAATAGTTAGATTGTGATAAATAATGTTATTTAATATATACCATTATTGATTTTTTATTTTTTTTTATAATTGTCAACAAACTTTTTATTAAGATGTTTTTGTATCTAGATGTAATAATCATTGTCAATTTTGATTGTGTTACTGTACGGTATATATTTGTTCTGGCATCCTTAAAAGTTACCCAACTTCCTATCTGATTGCTCTGCTTTTGGGATCTTCACCCTTTCACCCCTATGTAACTTTTAATAACCTGTACCATAAATTGATCTGGATGAGTCTATTATAGTCTACAGTGTTGAAAGGGTTAAACCAAATGTCTCAATTCTTACCACATTTTACTCAAATTCTGAAGTCATTCCAGGAACAACTCTAGAATTTGATAACATTCCTGTATTTACAAGAACATAAGATGTACCAGTGACAATATCCCTGTACAATTCCAAAATGTAAATATCCTTCACACAGAATTACTAGTCACAGGGGATTTCTTTTCAAATTTGTAATACATTGCCTTGGGAAAACCTGGCTAGTATAGTAAATTGAGGTACCTGTAAGAATTTATGTAAATCTGTTGGATATTTCAATAAACACCCACCCCGAAATCAAAAAAAAAAAGAAAAAAAATGATGTGAAGTAGAGGCTGAACAGAACAATTTGTATCATAATTAGAATGTGCAATTATTTTTAAAATATTTTTTTTTTCTGTGATTGTGCCAATCATGTATAGAAAATAATAGAAATTGTATAGACGCACAATGTGTTTTAAGTCTTGACATGTATACCCTCCATGTAAGGGCCGTCTCGGTGTTCACAATGTGTGAGATTTACTTGTATATATATATATATATATGGTGTGATCTTTTCCTCACTCCCGTCCCGTGTTTTTACCCAGTGTGAGAATATATAGTGTGATTGACCCATCACTACAATCCTCACTTCCATTCCTTTCCACATCAAGTTTCACAGGCCTGAAAACAGGCACTGACTTCACCTTTCAAATCTTTCCTATTAAAACTACTTCAAACTATGAAGTGGAATTTTTTGGCATATTTTACCAACTCTACAACCAATTTCCAAGAGAGAGGTGCAAATGGTAAAACAAAAGCAGTAGAAGATTTAAATTGCTGATGGACAAGATTTTTAGCTCACCTGGCCCGAAGGTTTTATACAGAGTATGTGTAATTTTAAACCTGTCGGATAGACATTTTGTAGTGTTGTATCTGACTGGCCTGACTCACTTTCACCTTTAATCCATCAGGATAAGGAAAGCATAAAATATACCATTTCCAGTTAAGATTGAACCCGCACCTCCCAGCTATCCAGTCTCCACATCTTCGTCCTCCAGTAATTGCCTCCATCAACAGGTTGATTCTTCTGCAATGTAACATTCTGCAACATCCACAGTTGAGCTGCTACTAAGAGAAATTCCCTCAAGCACAAAGCCACAGTACTGTCCCATGTTTTAAGAATTTAACCCTTATTAAAGAGTTTTCTGTCACAAGGAGGGCCACAGATACCTTTGTGTTACTGGAATATTGTAGTGTAAACTACTGCTTCCTCTTTCGATCGAGATACCCAGCCCGTCGCTCTGACTATTCCGTCTTTGCATATTGCAGAGTTATCTTCTCTTGGGAGCAGGGATTGATTGTTACGTCACTTGTTTGTGAGAGTAACGTCATCAATTTTTGAGAAAACGACGTGATTTTCTCACACAAACCAATGACGTAACAATCAATACCTGTTCCCAAGAGAAGATAACTCTGCAATACGCAAAGACGGAATTGAGCTCAAGGAAAAATCAACTTAGCGCAAGTGCAATACAAACTTCCCACAATACTCCCTCCTTTCTAAATATGTTAGCCCCCCAAAGACCAGTTCACCTCAGTACAAGTCTGCTGGACCAACACGGGAACAGCTCTCATTTCAACAGCAATATATTTCGTAACAATTAGGTTAGCTTAAATCATGGTATTACCGAAAACAGTCGTGTAAGTTGAAAACTTCATCAAGTCTCAGTCGATCTTTTGTTCCTAGTGAAATGAAAATTCTTTTCAAACACTGTTTGTTGTTTGTTTACTGTCATAATTATCCCTCGACTATTGTTAGTTATTCAGCTGATCTGTTGAACGATGTTGTTTTAAACTACCTGTACGTGCGCCTGGGGCGGTGGTCTGTTTACAGTTGTTTGAATAAGGAGGCATTTGGTTATAGTCGAATGTGTGTACAAAATATGGTCATACTTTATTAAACGACCACTTTTATTAAACGACCGTTTTTTTAATTTCCCTTGGGTGATCGCTTGATACAGATTCAACTGTATATACATTTCCTGGTCACCACAGTAGTTTGAAATAATGTTTCCAACAGAGATTTATCCTATTGAGCTAACCAGGGCTGCTTTCATTTATCCTGTTCAACAATTTAACCCTTTCATCACTGTAAACCATAATGAACTCATCCATATCAATGCATGGTAGAGTCTACTAAAGTTACATATGGGTGAAAGGGTTAAGCTGATAAACCTGGAGAAGAAGCAACAGGTACAGCTTGGGACCAAGGCTTATCTATGGTTTGGCTTGTTGTTAATTTTATTTGATAGTTATATCGGCCAAATTTGGAAGTGCATTATTCAATTATAGCATATTTATGTGCCATCTGGAGCATTTCAACATGCAAATGACCCAGTCCAGTTCTAACATATTACATTAAAACTTTTAACACAAGATACTGTTGAATCAGAATGGCTTTCCCACGTTCCACCCCAGACACATCCTGTCCAATCTCCTGACTCCCATCCTAACACCTCCGTCGCCCATTGTTCTCGCCACTTCCCCATATACCATGGTCATCTCCATACAAAACATGGTTCGTCCACCATTAATCCAGCTATCTGTTTTCATTGTTATAGTCATATATTAAAACATAGGTAATGCAGTGGTATTATGTCAAATATAATTTTTCACTAAATAAAAATTGAATTTGAAACGTGATTTTTGTCCTTTTTTGTTTGTTTTTTTATTAAAATGCATTTTGCAATCACTTTAAAGATATTACCAGGTATATCAATGACTGGAATCACAATAGCACTTGGGGGGCTTGTTCATTGGCTATTTATGTGTAACAAAGGGTACATCCGTTTTTAAATTAACATTTTCGGGTACAAATGCTGGCGGACCTGCGAATCTTCATGCAGGCCTTGCAAGGCTTTGTCAATGCTCGCCTGAAAGCAGCGAGAGGTTAATAAGTCCGCCCTTATTTCATTAACGAATAACTCTGGTCCAGCTGGTCCAACTATTTGGATTGCAATAAACGAAAACGGCCCAGGGTAAGGGTAATCCCTGGGTAGGTCACGTTGCTGGAGTCATGCTGTCATGTAAGTGCATACTATATTCATTTTTTATACAATTCTGTTGAACAGGCACTAAAGTGACGGATAGATGTATATGGGTAACTTTAACCGCAGTTTAACTTCAGCCTTGGTCGCCCTTTGCATTCTACAGCAAATAATAGTGCACAATATTCCAAATTTAGCAATAAAGACGGCAGAAAAGATTTTCACCAGTGAACGGTCGAATATTTTACTACGCAAAAGTTTTTCAGTATAAGTTACATTTATGATAAATAAAAACACTGAACAATAATTTAGTTTCAGATTTTAATAGAATTCACAAACACTAATTCAGTTTGTCAACATATGTCCATTTAACTCACGACTGGAGTGTTAACGGATGTGTATAAATTAAAGGAAATATAAATATAAATGTTGTCTCGATACCTTGTTGATACAAGTAAATATATTGTCATGAGAGTAGTGCACTGATTCTATCACAGAGAAAGGACAATTGTCCAAGATTGTACAAAAACGATATCAAAACAGAAACAACTTCAAACCTATAAACAACAACAAAAACTTGTCAGCACTATCATGAAAGTCAATACCAACAACAGAATCACAAAAATGATATTTATATATATTATGAAAGCAGTTGGGAGGCTTAATAAGCAGGATAGGAATCAATATCTAGTTTTTTTCCATGATTATGAAAATGAAATTAATCACTAGGTTATCATGCATCACATAGACCCTTTCACTATAACTGGGGACTGTCAACTTAGCTGGCATGTCATCATCATTATTGTTTATTTTACATTTCTGTGTCCATCATATTCAGTTGTCATTTGGAGGTTTGCTAACTAATATTCAAGCTCTCCAGCTGAAGTCAAGGGGTCGATTTTAAATATATACATATATATATTATTTGTCCGAGTTATGAAAATGAAAATTAAACCCTAGTCTATCACACATGCTCTTCTCTCAATGTAGTAATTGCACTTATAGTAAAACCTTTAATACACAATTTTACCCTCTAATCATGCATCAAAAAATGAAAACAATTAACACAAGAATTCAATAAAAAGTACAAAATTAAAAGATGCAGTATACCTTTTTTTTTTGTATTTGTAACAAGACTGTCATGCATGTATAAATGTAAATTTTAAATGCACAAGAAATTTCGAGAAGTTCCTACAACCCATAAGTTGAGTGAATGACTGTTGTTTGTGTCCTTAGCAATCATACATAACAGAATATGATTTAAAAAGTAGATATATTCTGGTATTACAAGCCATTCCTTGTTCCCAAATATATTAAACAAGCATAATCTCGAAACCTCATTTAGCTTCAAGTGTCTTCATGGTCCCAATGAATGCCGGAGCATGATTAATCTTTGATCCGACAAACACTCTTGAAAAGTAACTTGTATCACAATTATTTGATACAACTCTCACATTTGATTGTAGAACACAAAAATATGAGAGGAACAACAGGCTTCAACAAACGGTATAAATTATGTTAAATAGAGTTAAAATGATATCTATACACATACTCTGTCACACAGTCTTCACCGAGAGGTTTCAGGGGAGATTAATTACTCTTCAAATTATCTACCCTTTAATCCTCATCAGAGTCCGCGGGAGCATGACGCCTCTTAGATGGAACTAGGCCTCCAATTAACCCGTTGGCCGTGTTGAATAGATTGATTGGACTGCTACCATCTGTGATAAGTGTGGACTTTAGCCCAAGCGCAGTCAACATCTTGACCTGCATCTCCGGTCCAGACACTGCAATGGACTGGAGTGTGTTGGCTCCAATAGCATCCACCATCTTCTTGAACTTATCGGTTTCGATGTTGGACATTTCCTTTGATTTTGTGAGTTCCATGTCATTCTGCTCACGGACGTATTTCAGTTCAGCCTCCCGGGCACTGGTCAGTCTCTCCAACTCAGACTCCTATAAAATGTAATCAGATTATAGTTGAAGATATTTGTGTTAAAAGAAGTCAAAATGTTCATACAAAAATCTTGTGCTTCAAAGACAGGTCACCTTTATAGACAGGTCTCCTTTATAGACAGGCAGACATTATACTGAAGTGGTATTATCTCCCCTTCATAGACAGGTAAACCTAGGGAATAAACAGTTAACCCTGTTTACAGGGAGATATAAGGAATAAAAAAGTTGCTCCTGTTAAAGGCAGGTAGGTTTATTCCCTTATATTAAAACTGAATTCATTTCCTATTATAGAATGTTATATGGAATAAAAGTCAATACACTCCTATTTAAAGAGCTTTACTCATTGTAAAGCGCTTTAGAGTGGCTTATGTTAGCTAGATAAGGGGCTTTGTCAAATGTTGTTTATTATTATATAAAGATAACATGATTTGGCTCCCTTTTATAGACAGCCAGGTTTACAGGCTGTATTTGATAAAAGAGGAGTAACTTCCCTTTATAGACAGGTTGGCATATGCTATAAATAAAATTTTGGATTTTTCCTAAAGCATCTCAAAAGTCTTTTATCAGTTATTTATTAAATATTTGAAAAGAGAGTATTTTGAATAATACCAAAATGCACTGGTTTAATTTTTAAGATAATTCAATATTTTCCTAACATACCAATAAGCTATGACATTTAATACAACTATGTCTTGATCTCTACAAAATACTTACGGCTTCAATCTTCATAGCCATGGACTTGAGTTTGGCCTGCTCAACGGCAGCCTCTCCCTCGATCCTCGAGGCCTCAGCCCGGGACTGAGCCTCTGCCTTGGCCTGACCGGTACTCTCCACGGCCGCACTGTTGGCCTGCAGTTCCAGAAGTTCCTTACGCGACTTTTCAGCTTCTGCCTCATCGCTGATTTTCTGTCGTTCCAAACGGCCCTTGGCTTCCTGTTCAAGACGCTCAGCCTCGTGTCTAGCTGTAGCCTCCTGTGAGTTGGTGGTGATTTCGATGGCGAGCTGGACTGACTTTTGCAAGGCATCACGTGTCCTCTGGTCGACTGGCTCCACAGACTGAATGTCAATGCTTGTCATCACCAGACAGTTCTGACCAAACACGAACTGGTCCCGCACCTTGTCCTTCGCATCGAAACCAAACACAGAGGATCGGATAATCCTGGCGGAGTTCTAGAGGAAAATCAAACAGTCAAATATATTAAAAGTCTTACACAAAGAAATGTTCAACAACCTGAAGGTGTAGTTTTTGTTACATGATTTCAAATGATAACTGATGCAGATAGCAAATTAGTTATCCATATCTTCATTACCGACATTTACTGTAATATCTAGACATCCAAAAAGCATGTTTTTTTATAATTTTGTAAGCTAGTTAAAAGTTTAGTAATTTATGGATGGGAAAATTCTATGACTGTTAAAAAAACCTGTTCAATAGAACACCTCTACTTTCCCAATTGCCGCTATTTCTGTGATGACTCATACATCAATGAGAGATTCAACACCTGCGATCATAGATCACTCCAATAATTTCTGAAGGTCTTATTCTAAATAAGATTTAGAATATGGGATATGAGACCAAAAGTGCGGTCTCTGAATACAGGTTTAACCCTTTCACCCCTATGCAACTTTAGTAGACTCTACCATGCATTGATCTGGATGAGTCCATTATGGTCACAGTGTTGAAAGGCTTAAATGTACACAGAATGAAGGATTTTAAGAATATGGGCTATTTTGCTATATTTTGCATTGCTTTCCACCAGACAACAAAACCAGGACCCTGAAGCACACTTTCTGATCTTCATCATATATAAACATGATAAAGTCAAGCCTGTGTACAAAACTACCCTTAGGAATTCCATGTCGATTTTATTTTATTCATGTGGCCTCCATATATAGGTTCAGGTAATTATACAAAATATATAAGCGTGATCTCTGGAGAGGAGGTTTGAATAGTAGAAGAGGAAGTAAAATGACGATGGTCCTTACCTTGTGGAAGTCATCAAACTGGACTTGAGCCACAGCTCCTCTAACCCGGGATGCGATCGCCTTGCAGGCATCACCAACAAAATCTGGTACACTGAAGATTTTGTGAGCATCCTTTTCATCAAGTTTGTCTTTGATATCAAAATGCCAGTTGTAAGATAGTTGGAGGCTGAGTCGTGCGTGATCGGCGGTCTCCACGACAATGATGTCGGTCATGAAGTCGGGACCAAGCAACAGACAAAGGGATTTGATAGAATTGGGTTTCTTTGGTTTACCACCGGACAGACTGAGCTGGGTGAATTGTTCGTCAGGGCCAAGCATGACCAGTTCAGGGCCAAATACAACTCTAGCTTTCTTCTCTTTGTAATCGTATATCTGCACTGCAGCATTATGTGGTACACGGAAAGTGATGACCCTCGTCTTGTCCCGAGCCTTTGTGGTATCTGTGCTCTGTCCTCGCGCACCCCGATCAGCCATAGGGTCCTTCCCTTGGGCTAGGAGGGTCTCAACTGCTGGGGGAAGGGCTTTCTCCCACAATTCCTCATCGTGACTCAGCATGTAAGTCTCTGCAGTAACCGCACGCACCTAAAACAACAAACATTGATCCGTGAACGTTTTACACCATTCAAAATATTTTATCAGCATCAATAGTACAACAGATTTTCTTAAACATGATTTTCATGTGTATTCACTAAAAACATAATGAAATCGTTTTTTAAACTAACCCTATTAAGGCAGTTATTGAAAATGGTAAAGATGCTCCCTCAAAATTTCCAAAGAAATTCATTAAGTTCACTGAATGAAACGATAAAATTGACTGATTTTAGGTATGCAAATAATATAACCATCAATTCTTTTGAATTTCTTAAAAACAGCATTTGGAAAATTTGCCAGAATGATTGCTTAATCGAATCTGGCTTAAAAAGTCCTCATCCTGATATCTATAAAGTCTATATTGCAGTTAGAGAGACAAAGATTAAAAAGTGTGTTGATATTGTCCCCTATTATTCCGAGAACTTCTGTAAAGATGGAAGATTGTTTCACAGAGATGATGCTCACCTTTCCATTTTTGATGTCCCTGACGTAGATACCCTCATTCTCGTCCAATGGGATTGCCCGTCTCTTGAGGACGACCTCCACCTCTGTGGGTGGTACATACTCCTTAGGTCCTCGGATCATCCACCGGTCACCGGGACGACGGTCTTCCCCTGTGTCTGCGTCCTTGAATGTTTCAGTAGCCTTGAGAATGAGACCTTCCTCTTCACCAAGCACATAAATGTTTTGGATACCCCTCTCAAGACTCTCGCCAGGCAGGAGGAAGAAAGATTTCTCTCCCTAAATTTAAAAGTAAAAACATGGAAAACATCAAAATATATTCCATGTCAATTATCAATATCCATTAGAATCTATCTCATTATTCAAATTCTGTGAAAAAGTTTCACTCCCTTCAATTAATCTTACTCGATTCAATACGGAAACAAAATCAGTCTGAAGACTTTTTATTACAAATTGGGATGTCTTGATAACAGTTAATTTCAAAGGCCTTTTCGGTCCTGAACTTTTTTATGTAATTTACAACCCACATCTTCATAATATACTTCAAGTGCAATGATTTGCAGCAGATGACCTTGAACTGCAACGATTTGTAGCAGGCGACCTAGAAATGCAACGATTTGTAGCAGACGACCTTGAAATGCAATGATTTGTAGCAGATGACCTTGAATTGAATTCTAAATTCCTAAGCAAAATGAAAGTATTATAGTCTCACTTTTATAATCATTATATGATATCATATTCTGTTATCTTTCAACCCAAAAACCTGACAAATTCTATGACATCGACAAATCTTACCTTGACCAGCCTCTTTCTGCCGAGCTGTGGCCTTCCAGAATCATCACAGGGATCCAAAAGAACACAGTACTGACGGGAGGTCAAGGTCGTAATGGAGACCACACCCACAACCTGTCATCATGGAAAGAATATAACCGATATGACTCAAAGGATAAACACCAGGAAACATTTTCAATATCTTACTGATAAGTTTCCATGCTACGTCTGATATGCAAATATATTTCTGTGATAGTTTAAACAATGTAAACATTTCGCCTTGCTTTCTTGTTAACTTCAGCTGCTAACAGTAATTACTTGCACTTGTACTTCCTGTTTTAGATTTCTAAGGTTTTCCCCAAGATTTTAAGCTTGTATTCTTTATGGGGTTTTTTTGCAGATTGTGGAAATTAATCACTCAAAATTGCAATTTGCGACCAAAAAAATATGAATATTTCTGCATTATTAAGTTGTTTGGAAATTGTGAATTTCTAAACTTAAATTTTTAGATATACAATCAATCAAAAATAATATTTCAACATAATAGATATATATGTGAATTGTAGATATTTTATACGAACCTCTTCGTAAACATTGGGGATGTGAGTTTCTGTCTCGGTCATGGTGATCAACCATTCCTCTCCGTTTTTCCTCACAACACCAAAGTCGTCCTTGAAAGTTCTCAGGGACCTCATGTGAAGGGCTTTCTGCAATACGCCAAAACAAATGGTAAGTTAATATTGAGTTCAAAATAAATGTCCTTTACCTGTTTTACCCGATTTACTCGATTTACTTTATCGCTGGTCGTCTCTTAAGGTGATAAAGCTTCTTTACCCCCTTAACCCATTCACCCCTGAAACTTCATAATGAACTCTTCCAACCTTTGAGTTGGAAAGGTTCAAATGTGTCTTCAGGGGTGAATGAGTTAATTTTGACAGTTACAGCTTATTTTTGTACAGAGTTGTGCAAATCAATACTACATCATTATATTTGTTTAGTATAGCATACAGCTTCACTTGACTTTTTATCAATATCTGTCCACTGTATATATATATTGTACTTCAGAGTGAAATTACAATAACATTATGTGAATATTTCCCCGTTTACCCAATAGTAAAATTTTCCAATAACCCAAGAAAAGAAATTTGAGGTGAGATCTTGATTTTACTGACATTTATGACTATTTGTAAGTGATATACAATGCCATACCTTGTCTGTGAGGACGAAAGCATTGACGATGTCGACCACCTCCTCATAGGCCCCGGGAAGGTAGGCTCCCGTCTTCTTAACAAGCCACTCCTCCCCAGTGACACGGGGTGTTCCCTGACGGTCGATCGTCTCCTTACGAGCCCGGAGACGGATTGCCTGGTTAGGACGGATCACAGTGGCGCGAACAGTTTCATCAATCACCACCTCCTTGCGAGGGATGTAAGTCCCGGGTCCTTCAAATAACCATTCATCACCAGCAGTCCTCTTAATGTCATCCTCAGCTTCAAAGTCGAGAATGGATCGGAGACGGAGAGCTGAGTTAGCATTCACAACTTTTAGGGGTGTCACAACCTAAAGTAACAAATTTACATCATCAATATATAATGAATTACACCTTCACAAATACATTTAAGGACAACTAGATGGCAGAGAGTGACTTTTATTCCTATATATTTTGGATAGATCAACTTCAATGAAATAAAACATTGATTCTTATATAATGCTGGTGTCATTAATGCTAATTTGATATAAAAATACTTTCAATTATGTTCTAAACTTTAAACGAACTCAGTCAATCAAATATGAAAATTTTAAGCTGTCTTACCTGTTTCAAGACCTCACCAGGGTAGAGAGGGAAAGGGTCCTGAGCAAGACGAATCTCCTGGTCAGCGTGGAGAAGTTTGGCTTGGCCGCTGTTGTCCAGTACAACCTTGTTGTCCTTGTCGCGGACATGGGGGTTCTCGATCAGACAGTAGTTCCTCGGGGGAACTGTGATCATCTTCTCCGGCCCAAACACCACCCTGTAGACACGAGACACTTCTTATAAGACAGGAGTTCAAAGATTTTGAAGAATTACAGAATTAAATAAAAACATGTTTCACTATATACCGATTCAGTTAAAAGTTTGCACTATAATAAATCGAATAGGAAACCAAATTTATCTGCCCATCCACATCTATTTCAGTTTAAATAAAATTTCAACAAATACATTTTAACTTCTCTGTAATAAGCCCATCCCTATTTTGAGTCAGAAATTATGCACTAGCCCCCCGGGCTTATTGTAGGATAAATATGGCAGAGCTTTTGTTCCTGTGAGCAACCGGCCGGCCCTACATCCATTTTTGCAGTGTAAATATAATTTGTACATCAATTAAAAAAATGTCCACAAATGCTCCTTCAAAAATGAATTATCAGCCATGAATGTAAACAAGAGAAAAGCTACTTGTCAAGTCAGGATTCTACATTCAGAAGAAACCTGTTTATCCTCTGCAGTAAATTTTGTGCAAAAGCCTCACCTTTCATTGTCCTGGCGGATGTAGGTCTGGGGCCCGATCTCCAAACGGGTAACATTAAGGTTTTGGTCGAGGACATGGAGGTAGTAGTAGGGAGGGATCCTAAACAAGGACAGCTCCTCTCCTCCACGACGAGAGACGGACATTTTGATTGGTTATCTGTAACAAATAAGACGTTTTGATTGGTTGTATGATTTTATGATTTTTTGCATCAAACATGTATAGGACATTATTCTGATTGGTAGTGTATATAACGCAGACATTATTAATTCAATAATTGGTAAGATATGACAACTTACATTTTGATTGGTTATTTACAACAAAAAGACATTCTGATTGGTTAATTTGAATATTTTTTGGAAACGAAAGTAACAAACATTAGTTTTTTTATTGGTTTCCTGGTACGTACTATACAGACACAAGTCAATATGAAAATCTGCTGTTACAGACATCCTGATTGATAAATGGTATTTGATAAAACTTGTTTCATAATAGACTAAATAAAGTTTTATCTGGAAAAAAAATCATTCTGATTGGTGACTGTCACGTTCCACCTGGCCCAAACAAACAGGTATTCAGTTTGTAAAATTGTAGTCACAAGTGAATGATTTTAGACTTCCTATTTTCACTGAATATAGATAACTTTTTCAATGTTTGTCAATCTTCTAGGATCATTTTTTGTTCATGCATGAATATAAATATCATCTGACATTTGACTACCACGAAGTTTGACATTTTGTTTAAGTGACCATGCAACAGCAGTTTGGCAATTATAATTATTAAGTGCCTGCTTGTTTAAGCAGACAAACTGGTTCACCTATTTATAAATGTACTATTTTTAGGAATAAAGCCAGTCAGACCTGTAGATGCAGTCCTTCAAAGTTAGTGCTAGGGCTCACCAGGAAGCTACATCAAATCACTAGGCCCGTCACTATTTCGTAAACGAACAACTCCGATAAAAAAGAAAAAATGGTCGAAAATTTTGGACCACATAAAATGAAAGCAGCCTTCAGGTTAAGGATTTTGTAGGATTCACTTAAGTTATGAATGAAGTGTTTTTGATGAGCTTCCAAACTATACAATATCCAATTTAGACAGGTGTGTACACATACAAGCTTGTGACATTGCGAGACAGAACATTCGAGTAAGGTCACTCAGGGTAAAAATAATTCTACTTTGAAATACCTTACACTAACAAAGTACACCGTTTATTGGGCTCACCATTTATTTATTGTAAGTTCAAAAGATTGAAATGTCTGGCACAGACAGTTATGTGTAATTATATAGAGTCACTAATCTGGATCTGTGCCAACATTTTAGGGCAACAGATAATACCTGATACACATGTATACAGGTGTCAGGCGACCTTCTACTTTATATATGTGTGTTATACAGGTACCCTTCTATACTTTATATAAAGAGTACTTGGTATATAGTTAAATCAATAGCTTTTATGTTGTTGATGACACAGCAAGTATCCGATAATCAATTTTACCTGATATGACAAAAGGAATCAAACACATGTACGGTACATTATACTGTACCAAGTCTTGTGCTCTGTAATAAGGTTACTCTCTTCATTTTGTTTCAACAGATCTTATTGATACCAGGGGGAAATAACAAAAGGATTGGATAATAGGCTAAGCCAAGTCCTCTTTTCAAGTTATCTTTTTGAATGCCTCCGCTAGGGATCAAACCATGACTACAGATTACAACTTGTCTCGAGAGTAATTGTATATAATTTTCATAAATCTTACGCCTACCTAGTTCCCAATTTGTTTCACATCAATAATTAAGTCATGCTCCCCAACACCTGTCGCTGGCACCCTCACCAAGTAAATTATCCCAAATCAACACACATACATATATTACGATGCAATGAAACAGCATGTACGTGTACGACAGCCTGTAGTGAATATATTTTTACTGGTTGATTTGACCGCATTATCAACCAGTGATTTATTTTGCCTATTGGAAACAAAGTCCCACTACAAATCAGAACAAAACACATCTCCAGTACAAAAACATGCATACACACATGTGGAGACATTAGTCAGGTGGCATAGAACCTGAGTAGTTAGTGCCTAATAACACAATACTGTATTGATTAGGACTGCAACGTGATATTTTGAATGCAGTACAATACATAATATTTGTTCAGAGGTTACGATACACATACAATATTTTCCGGATTTGTCGATTCTGAATTTAGTCTACTCATATCGGTGCAAACATGCTGAGTGACAGCTCAAACTTGGCATGCACGTCAAAAGATGTGAATTAAGTGAAACTTTAAAAGTGATGCCCATTAAGGACCAAGTCTATTTTCAGTTGTAATATTGCCATTAAAATTTGCAACAGATCTTTTCGCCTTGCTTCTACTGTTACTATATGTATCATGATATGTATCGTATCGTGACCACAGTTTCGTGATACATATCGTATTGTCATGTTAATGTATCGCTGCAGCCCTAGCACTGATTGTATATGAATGTACTGTGTTGTGCTTTCGAGCAGCTTATAGCAAGTCAGGATGTAACATATCCAATATATATTTACTTATTATTTGATATTACTGTGCGACTCCAGTGACAGGTATACAGGAAGAAGTTATTTGATAATAATGAGGAAATAGACAACCATTAAGGCCCTTGAATGAGTCATTCACAAGGAAATATTATATGCTGTATCACTGATTACAAGTGTACAACATTACTGTCAAACGGCACATTTATCTTTTTAGGTACTGTAAGCTGGTAATATTACGGGTACTTCCTTCCCCCTGGCTCGCTTTTAAAAATAAACGTCTATTGAAATAGGTACTCCTTTTATACTTCCCCTTGTCATACCTTAAGTCAAGTTAAATATAAATATTTTACAACAATTATCAACAAGTTTAATCAATCTTGGTCTTGATGGAAGAGCATAGGGGGCTTTATATGAGAGGAAACAGGATTGCTGGTTTGGTGGTATATCATGCAGGTACACATAGAAATTAAAGTGTTTGCATTACAAAGTACAGATAATCTGGAAAGTTTGTCACATAAAGTGAGGTGAGAAGTGAAATGACAGGCATCATATTTATATTAAAGTTTCACTCAATAAACCTTAACTTCTCTCACAATTAACTCATTCACCCCTGAAGACACATTTGAACTCTTCTAGTTCAAAGGTTGGAACAGTTCATTAAGAAATTTCAGGGGTGAATGAGTTAAAGGCTGGAGTATGATGCAACATTTAGTGATATGGTTCAACACATACATTATTTTTCGGATAAAGACCTGACTTCCACTCCGTATGATGCAACAAGCAGAATATTACAATCACAATTTTTTCTGCTGTATTGTTTAAAGATGATATATAAGCCACAGTTGGTGAACATATACATTGTATACCCATATATGACTGAGAAATGTGCAGAAAATCAGAAATATACATCGTGAAATATAAATGACTTTGGTAACAATTAGAAATTCTGCAGGATGCTAATATATGAAAGGATATTTTGACAATCTATTTTAAATGTCATTATAATGTACATGTATGTATAGATAATGATACAATGTCAATACTGCTTGAGTAAATGACAAGGATGAAAATACTTAGCAACACTGAACTGTAATGTTAGATATACCAATATAGATATCATACTGTGTATTAATTAAGTGTAATTACATGCATCCCTCATCCTCTGTTAAGTGTTAAGATGTTATCATACAAAGGACGATAAGAACACAAACTTAACCACTCAGAAAAGTGTTTAGAATAGATTTATCCAGCATTGCACTTACATGTATATATTATATAAAAAGACAAATCTGAGACCTATATCGCTACCATAAAATATTTATAACGATGTACCTCTACAGAATATACTGCCGCTGATATTGATAAATATTTTTAAGTTATTACTTTAAAATGGTGTCCTGATCTTGTGCATGTGACAAATAAAGTTACGAAAAAAAATCTTACCTATATATAATACCAGTACACAAGTAAAAAAAAATCAGCTCCAAATAGTAAGCAACAAGCCGGCGACTTGTGGGAAGGGGGGAGTCGTCTTCAGTCAAGTCATGGTGTCCCAGTGGTATATGTTCACGCGAAAATATATTCACCCATACTGACTTCTATATTCAGATGCCTCCCGGTTTTAAAGGTACAAAAGTGCTAGCCTGTCAGAATGACGTATATTCAGCGCTTTGTCAGCATTTGTTATTTTATTTTATTCACAGGCCACTGACAACCAGTATATGTTAACCATACAAACACATATTTCACAACGCTCTGGCAATCCGTGTAAATGTTCAAATGTCAATCAAAGGTCTTTGTGGGATGTACTTGGGACAAACCCGTGTGTAAATATAGCAATGATCACTTAGTGACGTCATACTGAAATGTTGTGCAAGAATGTACCTGTGTGATTAGGGGTCTGTTCGTTTATGCGGAACAGCCGGTTTGACCGTTTATAAATGTAACAATGTCGGGTATAAATCCTGGCGGACCTGCAAATGTGTATGCAGGACTTGCAAGGCTTTGCCAAGGCTCGCCTGAAAGCAGCATCAGATTACAAGGTCCGACCTTATTTGATAAACGAACAACAGTGGTCCGACCGGTTTGACCGTTTAAACGAAAACGGCCTAGGCCGAAGGAAATGCGGGTTATGTACGATATCAAAACAGTATTTTGTACCTTCGTAAAGAATATATCTCCATGACAAATTCGTGCATTCTATAATTCCTAAGGCCTACTAAATTCTATAAATTTAACTTCAAAAATGTTAACATTATGCACTGTTCTGAAAAATTCATTGTGACGAAGTTTCAATAATTGGTCAATTCACTAACAATTGTAACACTAATCAATGTTAAGTTTATTATATATTAACAATAATTGCTGACGGTGTAATTATGTTGTTGCGTCTCCAAGTACACGCTTATAAACATGTCCGTCCCTTCCACAGATCGATAAAGCGGAAGTAAAAAAAAAAATCGTGCGTTTTGCAGCGTTTTCGGGACGATTTTCTGTGCAGTTTTATAAAATGTCAATAACTAAAACTAAGTTTACTCTAAACACTAAACTAAAAGCCATTTAAAAACACTGATTTACTTAAATAAAATCAATTAAAAAATGCTGAATGCTTACCTGTTCTTGAAGCTGCGTCAGCAGAGTTTCTGAATGTTGAGCAAGATCCTGCAGGCCGGTGAGGGGGGCGTGGCCATTCGATTGACCAATCACATTGCGTTCCATTGCTTCTATTTTTATCGATGACCGTTTACGTTCTAAGGGAGACAACTCTTATAGTACGCGTTAACTATGCTAGCTAAATATATCAATGACACCTAGATAATAGAAGTACGGTGCGTCGTAGTTTCATTTGCGTTCTTTCTTTGATAAGCGTATAATGATTAATAAGCACTTGAAGTATTACTGCTTAGGGCAAGGTCTTTGAATATGCGCACCAGTAGACGATCTAAATTAAGGTAACATTTTTTCCCCCAAAATTGATGAAAGGAGTCGTTGTATTAATAAATCTACGGGGGATCGGGGAGTTCACTACACTTTCCCTATGTTTTATTATTTTCTTTAAAATATAACATTGACCTGTAACGTTAGAGTGTTTTATTGTTATAATTTCTATATTGCAACTTACCTTTTTTAATATTTCATATAGATTTTATATAGTTTCCCTTGGGTAAATACATATTTAGAAGAATCAATAAATTGCTTCTAGCACTTTATCAAATTGTGAGGTTCAAGATTAATCACCCTTTGATACATGAACATTTCTTACATGAGATCATGCATATCGTTTTCAAATTGTATATTCGTACAATCGTACGTACTAACAAAGTAAGCTGGTGAAAGAAAAAAGATGAATATTTCAAGGATATATATATATATGTTATAAGTTTTATATAAATCAAAGACTATACAGCATGCAATGAACATTTTGCGTGACACTCAACATACAGTATACCCTGCAGTGGCGGATCCAGAGGTTTTTTTGGGCTTCAGGAAACCCCCCAACCTGCGAATTTTCTTTAAAAACCATGTTTTTTCATCATTTTCCTCAATTTTTCCCCCACATGGAACCCCCCCTGGACATTTGGAACCCCCACCCCCCAGATAGGTCTCTGGTTCCGTCAATGACCTGTATCAGACCCACTTTCCTCATTCAAGTGACAGTTTAATATAGAGGCTAGCGTCCCCAGCCCCGGTAGGAAAATGGGATCTTTCGAGTTATCATTGGGAATTTGTAATGCCTAAACAATGCCATAAATAGATAAGTTAAGAATTCCTAATTTACATATCAGATCACATGATGCCGATGGACATATGTCGATCTTCTTTTAGAAAATATGACATAAAAAGGTCTGGCCAACAGTTGTGATGTCAAAAGTTAAGTTGAACGAAAAATAATCTTAAAAACACAAATGTGAAAAACGCAATGAAATACATTTGAAAGAGTGATGTTTGTTGGTCTACATATGTATATTATACCTATGTATATAATGCATTATGTCCATGCGTCGTTCTAGACATCAAAGTGAGGGGGCATACATGCGACGCCCCTCTGTGATGCATGAAAAGTCATTCGTGGACGCTATTTCACCGAAATACTAACACAACACTAACATTGACCGTACACGCTCCACTCGTCCACTTTGAAGACCCTCAATAGAAACAATAATTGTTAAAATATAACAATGTTTTATATCAAATTGGAAGCATTATAACGTTGAAATTATAAACAGAATAACGCCAGTCCATAAAGATAGCAATTAAAAAATGAATAATGTGCCGTAAAGATGAAATTTTATATATAATTATAATAATTAAATGAAGATTTCTAAGTATATACACGGAATTAGATTATCTAAGTCCGTGTTATATCGTAACGTATATAACATGAACATTAAATAAGGTTTTCCTTACAATATAGTGACGTATATATAACATGAACATTACATAACGTTTTCTGTGTTTATCAATGACAAGTGGTCAGTACCTACAACTATCTATTAACGGCACGTGGTCAGTACATTCAATTATCTATTAATAGCACGTGGTCAGCAACTACAACTATTTATTAACGGCACGTGGTCAGTATACATACAACTATCTATTAACGGCAAGTTGTAAGTACATTCAATTATCTATTAATGGCACGTGGTCAGCAACTACAACTATCTATGAACGGCACGTGGTCAGTATACCTACAACTATCTATTAACGGCACGTGAACCTCATTCTCTATAAGATTATACTCTGTACGCCATACTATAAGTCCGTGGTTTTACTGATGGACCAAAAGGTCTAAAGTAAAAAAAGAATTGAACTGAATCTATTGATATTTAAACAAAACGCTTTTTATATGTTTTGGATACAAGTTATCCTTTTCAATTATCTGACAAAGTTTTCTACGGTATGTGCTAATTATATAACGGTTTTCAAGGAGTTAATGATTTTTTTCAATAAGTTATGCATATATTTATGTATGCATGGCTATCTTCTGATGTCATTCAACTGTGGATTGTATACGTCAAGAATACGGGTATGGTAACGTGTACTGAACAAAAATTGAAGATATAAAAAATTAACGTGATTATGAATTTAAAAATTTAAACATAATTAGAATTTAAAATCTATTTTAAATTGGTATACATAACTGAGAAAATTATTACGATAAGACGAATACCGATAACACGCCTACAAATATATCGTTCCACATCTTGTATGAGCATGACTTCGTTTTTTTCTTGATAATCACAACCACTGGTACCCGCTTTGCGTGATGACAAGATATTTACATGAATGTGGAAACAATCACTTTCTGTAACTAACGCTCTACCCCTTGCTGCCACAAGACTTCCTTGCTTTATATTTTAACCTAAACCAAAACCTTTCATGACAAAATAAAGAAAATAAACAAGAATGACAATAAAAGTACATCAGTTCTATACACGTACATGTTTTGAACATGTAAACACGACGTACTGAAAGAAATTAGCATGTTGATTTGTGTTATTGGAACAATATTAATTTATTTTAAGAAGTATCAGAAAAAAAATCAAATATGCCGAAGTGACCTAAAAAAAAGTGCCGAGGTGATCCGAGGCTAAAAAAAGTGCCGAGGTGTCTCGAACCGTATATAAGAAAGTTGCAGTCGACAGATTACGACGGTTTCACTCCGCGCCTACTAGTGCCCTATTAGGTCTATATTAATCGATGTCACAAAGAAAAAGGTCTTATAAATATCACGGAATTAGCTCAGTCATCTACGTCCGCGGTCTACATAAAAGACGATTTGAAACATTCAGAGGCATACCGTCTGCATCAGTTCCGTCTGAAGCAGTTATTTGTTATTTATTTTGTCGGCATAGGTCCGGCAGCAAATGTTCTAGAAACAAAAATGATAATTCATATTTGCATGTTCCTCGAAGCCTGACGTTAAATCAATATACTGTACACACTAAAAGTTAGTAACTACCAGTGTAAGGCAGGGGCGGGTCCAGGTGAGGGTGTAATGGGCTCCAAGTCAGAAACCGTTACATTAGTGCATTTCACAATTATTTTATGTATTTTAGCAAAAAAAAGGTCCAAAAAATATTTCATTCTCTTTCAAATATCCTAGAAACGTCCCTGTAAGGGGTGGTTTTTTTGTAGTCTGACGTTTAATCAATATAACTATAGCAATATGTATATAAAAAGTATCCATTATACTATAAAAAAAACTGAGGGGGTTATAGTATAAGGGATATTTTTATATCCAGATTCACTCATTGTTATAGTTATATTGATTTTAACTCCTTTGGTAGCACCTTGAAATATTCCGCCAAAAAATACTGATAATCTCCCCTTTTCTGGGTCATCTACGTGTTTTCATCGCGAGAATCGGTAGACTTGTGTTGATGCTGCACTCAATCATTCTTGATCAGAAAAGTGCTTGAAAATTCACAATACACAACCCAATCCGAAGAGACGCTCGTCGACCACGTCCTGAACGTCAGCTAATATGCAAGACTTAATCAGGTAAATATAAGTTTCTGGTGATCGGTTTTGTGGCTCTTGCTTAGAGGTTGAATGAAATAATGTACCATGGTCGTGCGTATATAAATGCGAGCAGCAAATTTCACTCCTTGACCATTTCCGCTCATCAGTTTACACTTGTAAACAATAACTTACTCTCTCGCGGTCGGACATGACCTTATCCTTATTTGAGCTATTGGCATATTTCGTTGACATAAACAAATATTTGCAACATGCATACACACATATGCGTTTCACATAGTCATAATGCACACGATAAAAGGCGACCATATGCGTTAATTTCGTGAAATGGTAATTCGGGTGGATGAATATTTCTGACTCATTATTGTTTATGTATGATTACATACATGCCATTACGTATACTGTACACGTGAATGGATACCGTATAGTGTTAAATACCTGATGTGTCTATGCAGGTTCAACGGCAAAGTTTTAATAAATGTGTGCACAGATAGCATACATAATACCAGAACAGCTCTGAAATGTTTCGTTCCTTTGCAACGCTATATTATATATTGATTAGTATAAATATAATATTAGTTCTAAAAATGGTGCCTTTGTTAACGTATACATAACAGTGCACTGCAGGCTTCCTTTGCCTTATGTCAATCACCACTGACAATCAATACTTCTCTCATTATGCCTATGTATATATGTATTACAAGTCTGTTGTATTGCTTCACACATGAAGAATATTTTACAGTACTACATGATGATGCTACTGCATTACGTGTATATAATGGCAGGATATGTGTAGACATGCTGGTATGCAAATGTAGGTAAATCTTATTTTATAGCATGTGAATTACATGCTGCATGATGTAACTTGCTGCAAAGTAATTAGTCAGTTATTCAGCATGATATACTGCTAACAGACAACAGATGTCTCGATCTGTACAGCTGCTGTTGATTAATTGAATAATTCAATATTGACCTACTTTACTTCCTGCTATAAGCTACATAATTTTATTTTAACTTTTATTTATTAAGACTTAAGAATAAAGTATGCATACATACGTATGATGTAAATGCTATTATATATAGATCATGATTTTTTTGTCATGATTGAAAACATTGTAAGAAAATTACTGCTATTTTTTTGTATGGATTGTTATGTAAAATGATACAAAGTCTTAATGGAAATAGCAAGGAGGAATTCTGACATAAATAGCATATATAAGAAAATCCCTGCATATTTTTCTGATTAAACATGTATTTAAATGTATCACCTGAGGCAACTATCTAAATAACATATACTGTACTTACCATAGGTGATTCATCATGTACAGTGATGTACTGTATATTAAGGGTAAATAATGAGATATTTAAAAATATTCAAAATAGAATGATAAGGAGTTGTGTCGGCTCATAACCATTGCTTTTCAAACTTAGGAGGCATGAATTATTGATGTGTAGGTATAGATATATAAATAAACAAAATTAGATGTTTGTATACTCGCAGTTTTCTATTGAGGTGTCATAAACACCCAAGTATAACTGATTAATAATACCAGGTTTGTGTATACAGCAAGGCTGAACTAAAAATATTTTGTGTTTCCAGGTAACCCTACCTACCCTAATTTTATGTGCCTACCCTAAACTTTTCAGGCAATTATCAAAGAAACCATGTTAAAGTCAAGATCACTCTCCTATAGAAACCATATGAAATTATTTTTAGTTACCTTCCTACCTACCTTTAACCTACCCTAATTTTTTCAAAAGTATAACATGAAACACACTTATTTGTTTGTTTGGCCTAAAGCCTATTATTATAAGTCCCAATATGACATGCAACTTATTACGAACAATATTTTAGCCAGCTACACTTCAGTTAATATGGAAGGCTCAACAATACCTAGTAATCTGAAATCAAGGTGCAAAACACCATGACTGAGAAAAATCTAGACAACAAAACAGAAATTATTATATTAACTGATTATAATAAACCAATTGAGTAATTTTCTATTAAACAGCCATTACAAAGAAAGGCAATAAAAATATCTGCATAACATATATTATATAAGTAGCATATGCAAAGAGTGTCTTAGTGTACCTCCCTAGTGCTTTCAGCTCTTTAGAGGTTCATGACCTCTAAAGAGATGAAAGCACTAGGGAGGTACTAAGACACTCTTTGCATTTGTTTTTTTTGTATATAACCACCACAAGGACTTTGAATGTTTTTTGACATATATATGTACTGATTACAAAGAAAAGATCAAACTGTTTAGTGCTATTATTTCCAAAAGAAATGAAGCAAAAACATTGAAACTAATTGCAGTAGGGGAAAGACATTCCAATATGATTCTCCATCATTGTTTGCTTGCAGTTTCTACTAGTGACACTGTTATGCTAGTGTTCATTATAAACTTACAAATTCTTCCATTTTTTATTGGCCGCTATTTAAGAAAGTAATTGTGTGAACTTCTTCAGTTTGAGGTATTTAATGCAACGAATGAATTTGATTTGAGGCCCCACCCCAAACAAAAACTAAAATGCAATTAAACAAATTAATGCATTCTTCTTCTAAAAATGCTAGCAATGTTAACTTTTCTCACATCCAGTTGCGACTATATGGGCGTTTAAAATTGACTAATTTAAAAACACACAAAAATCATCGAAGTTTTACCTTTTGCAGGACAATTGTCAAAATATTCCCTAAATGACATTGCCATTTTCAGCATATAGATATTTCCCATTTTGATCACCTTTTAGCAAAATGCTGTAAGTGACACAAATGCATATTTCAACCTCTACATATCAATCTTGAATGCTGAGGTACAAACCTTTTCCATATGCTGGTCATTGTGCTCACAAGAAAGGCAGAAAGACCAACTTTAATCTGTTATAACATAACTAGCCTATTGCTCCCATTCAAGCCATTTTATCAAACAAAAAATCTCAAATGAATTGGACACAAGTTTTGAAAATTTCTTAGGCCTTCTAAAATTTATTTGTAATTAAATGGGTGGAACAACAGGATGAAAATATTTTGGCATCAGATTTGATGTGTTTTTATTAGTTTTGAAAACAACAGTTGAGAGTATGGGTATGTGGGTCTTATGATTTTAAGAAAAAGAAATATTTTTAGCCTAGTAATTGTGTTCTTATTTTAAACGTTTTGAACAAATTAAAAAAAAAAAATGTTTGTTTTTTCAGCTGACTGTTGACACAGAGGGAGCTTAATATCCATACTACCTGTTCCACTGACTAGTATGGCAACGTCTGATACAATTGCTGAAAAAGCCGCCAATGATGTCAGTAGCGAGCAACCAGTCTCGGACCAGAAAACCTCTTCGGATACTTCAACCTCGGAGAGCGTGGTAACTGACCAATGTGGCAGTGCTGGTACAGAGAATGAAGAGGCAAAGTCTGATGCTGAAAGTAAGGAAAATGTGACAGAACCGAAAGAAGATCCAAAAAAAGATGAAAACCAAAAACAAAGCACCGAACCTTCTCCAATTGAGAAAAAGGACATGGAAGCCAGTTCTGAGGAAAAGTTGGAGCAGAAAATTAAAGAATCTGATCCCTGTTCAGCCATTATAAAAACCACTGAAGAGAACTCAAATGATCAAAATGTCGAACAAAGCCTGCCATCGGTAGACAACACTGAAATAGATAATAAACAGGAAGTGTCATCATCAAACTCACAGGATGTGACATCATCCAGTACACAGGAAGTGACATCACTTGATACACAAGAAGTGACATCACTTGATACACCGGAAGTTACATCACCTATTTTACATGAAGCAAAAACACCTCAAGTGACAACACCCAGTGAACAAGAAGTGTTATCAAACAAAGAGACACCATGTGAAATTTTACCACAGAAGGAACCGGCAGATGAAAAACCAGATGTGACATCAGTGAATGAGGCGACAGAGAAAACAGCTCTACAACAGAAAGACGAAAGCAATGCAACCGAGGGAGAAACAACAGACAAAATCAATGGTGGTCCTAAAGATGCAGACATACAAGAAAAAGAATCAGAATCCGAAACAATATGTACGGACGATAAAAACAAACAGGAAAAAGACACAGAAGAAGAAACTACGAATGATAAAACCTCAGCTGTATTGACTGAACAACAAACAGAACAATCATTGCCCACGAATCAAACAGTAAATGAAGGCAAAAGTACATGTGAAACACAAGCTTCAAAGGAGAGTGATATTGCACAGGATGGAGGCAAAGTTCAAAAGCAGAGTAGAGGGCAAAGATCCAGTGCATCTAGAATGACTGACTCTAAAGATCAAGGACAGATAATACCAGATATACAAGAGGAACCCTTGGCTTTAGTCACCAAACCTAGAACGAATGACCAAACAAAACCATCACTACCAGATGAACAGCCTACAAGTACTGAAAAGCCTGCAGTTGTTCTGGATGAAACTAGTGATAGACAAGTGGTCGAGAAAAGCACAGGCGAAGCTGAGCCGAATGTATCCGATACTTCTGGACTGGATGAATCAAACAGTACAGATTGTTCAAATTTGTCAACACCAGATCGAAACAGCCGAGGCTCTGGACTCTATAGGTCCTACAAGTGTAAAGGGTGCAAGTATAACACTCCTATCAAGACCAACCTCCGGCGTCATGCTTCTATCAACATTGAATATAAACCTTTCCTGTGTAACTTATGTGGTCACAAGTTCACCGACAAATCCACACTTAATTTCCACAACAAGAAAAGACACAGTGGCTTTGAAAACTACGAGTTTTCTCCTGAGAAAGAGAAGGACAATGCCTTGGATAAGTACTTGGAAATGTGTATCCGCCTTGAAGGCAAGGTGAAATCCGAAGGTGGAGTGCTAAGGAATCCTTCCAAGTACAAAGACTGCAATCTTGTGACATTTGACATGTTCAAACATTTCAAAAGTACAAATCCAAAGACATCAACAGGGAAGAAGGATATGGATCATTCTGGAGATGGCGAAGGTGAATTAAATTCATCAGAGTCAGGCTTGGAAAAGAAAATTCATGCAGAGAAGAAGAGTAAAATTATGAAAACAAAGGAACATGTGTATGTAACTTACCCAGATGAACCCACTGTACAATCTACAGGTGATGTCACTGAAATCAGTCCTGTTGTTGGACCAAGAAGAAGAGGGCCGGGTAGAAAGAAAAAGATTGAGCTTGGATCATATCCTGTTGTTTCTACTGCAGAAAATGCATCACAGATCACAGGAAATGTTAATGTAAGTCCACAAATGATAAGTCAAAGAAACCAGACTCCTTTGATAGCTGTTCCTCATGCTGAGGCTGTAATGTCTGCTCAAGCAGCAACCCAAGCCGGCAGAATCAATCTCATCCAAACTTTTGGTGGAATTGCGATTCCAGTACCAATGCAGATGCCATTGCCGATTCCTATACAAGTACCAGCCCAGATACCAACACAAATTCCAGCACAGATGGCTGTACAGCCACAGACCGTGGTTCGTCCACAAGTGGCTTCCCAAGCCTCTCAGACCAAGCTTCCTGATACAACCCGACAACCAACAGAGAATGAGGACAAGAAAAAGAAAGGACGAACAAAAACCATAAGAGAAATTTTGAATTTAGACAATGGTGTTCGTCGACAGAAACTTTCCCATGGTCAAATGGTGGAGGCAAAAGCAAGCACAGCAGGAAGTTTGAGGTATTCGTTGGGCTATAAAGCTGGTCGTGGAAGAGGTAGGAAGAGAGGAAGTTCAAGGAGATTTGAAATAGAAACTGACCAGTCTTCAACAGATAACTCTGTACCGGAAAGTGAAGTGAGTGGATCTGATGGTGATCCAACCTGGAGAGATCCTACAGAAAAGAGAAGGGGCAGGGGGATCGGGAGGGGTCATGGCATTGGTCCTTTGAAACGTAAATATATGAGAATGAAGCTTACAGGAAGTTCACAGGAGCACTTTGTCATGAAATCTAAGAGAGGATCCGGAGTTTCTGTTAATATCCAAAATAAGGAAAAGTTAGTGGAGACAAAAAGGAAAAAAACAGACTCAGATTTGAAAGAAGAAGTAAATGCAGGTGCCGAAATTTCCCTGTCATCAGAGAAGAAGAGGGTGGGGCGAAAGAGAAAGATTGACTGTGTGACAGACCCAGCTACAAGGGGTTTAGAGAAACAGAGAAAAATGGCAAGCGAAACTGGTATTCTTACAGAAGAAACCATCAACAATAGTCTGCTAGCCCTGAAGAGGCGACAGGACAGCATTACAGCCACAGGCACTCGTGTGAAACGGAAGTATGTTAAGCGAACAAAAAGTCTTACAATGCCACCGAAGAGAAACAGAAGTCGCACAGAATCCAATAATGCATCTTCATTACTTTCTACCAGCAGTACAAGTAGCACAATGGAGGAACAGCGAGACCTTAATGAGACAGGAATATCCGTTCCTGCCAGTCCAGAAAAACGAAAAAGAGGAAGACCAGCGTTATCAAAGAAACCTAACATAGATTTAGAAAAAAGACACATGGTGAGAGGACCTTACAAGAAAAAGCTGAAGTTAGCATTGCAAGTTTCTGAAAGTGAACAGAAAACAGTTATACATTCAGGTTGTGATAAGTGTCCCTCAGAGGAAGGCTCAGTAGATGTGAAGAGAAAAAGGATGAGTACCAGTCCTGGGAGGGCTAACTGTCACTGTGCCACAAGTGAAGGTGACGGAGAAAACCCCAGAACCTCAGTGAAGAAACCAACCCTGCTGAAGTCCACTAGAATGACAAACTATGTGAAAAAGTACAGTCAGAAATATTCGAAGCTAGCTAAGGCCAAGTCTCAGGCTAAAGTGATGGTGAAAGCCAAAGACCCACAGAAGATAAAGTGTCCTCTTTGTGATTACCAGTCAAAGTCCATTAACGGGGTGAGGCTTCATGCCTTCTGGGTACACAAGATGTGTAAGTACACCTGTACAGAGTGTACTTACTTCACACTTAACAGATACGAGGGTCTCGCACACTACAAGGAGGAGCACCCCGGAAAGACGGTGAGCCTTGTACGGAGTTTCTGTCTGTTAAAAGACCTTGAGGTAGACACTACTCCAGGACTACAGGGAAAGGTCATGACCTTATCAATCGACGGACAAACATCACCCTCCAAACAACAGACTCCAAGTAAGATCGACGTCTATGAGTACAATCTTTCTTCAGAATCCTCACCTTCCAAGTCAACTGGAGCACCGGACATAACAAATACTGAAGACAGAGCCAGGGTGTTGAAAGGCCGTTGCCCTAAGTGTCCGTTTGAGTCGACAGTACGTGGCGTTGGGCAGCACCTGATGCTAGCACATGACACCATGAACTGGGTATGTAAAGAGTGCAAGTATAAATCGCACTCCAAATCTCTCACCATTCAACACATTCGACGCAATCACAAAGACAAGCAGCCAATAGTTTACAGAAAAGCAATCTTGGTCAAACCAGATCCAGAACTCAACTTAGAAATCTCCTCACCAAAAGGTTCGTCTACACCAAAGTCTTCTAAAGGTAGTATCGAGCCAGATTCTACTGTTTCTGATCTTTCTCCGACTATGCCAAAATTGAAGAAGTTTCCTAAGACGTGGAAAATGAAACTAAATTCTATGAAAGATCGGGAAAATCTCAAGCAGCTTATTGCAAAGCGCAAGGGAAAGACAGGAAAGGTCAAGACATCAGAGATAGTACCAGCAGGTAAGTTACACTGTAGAATTATAATTTATTACAATCAAAAATCAATCCGATTGCCATTCCCGATTCTGATTATGGATAAAAAAAATCCATAATGGATATAATCTGTTCATTAGTGAATTTAAATGACAAATGTAGTAATTGGTTTATATATTTTCAACTTTACTATAAGCTCCACAAAATATTAACCAAAGTTGGTAAAACAATTCTTTTATGGTCCTTCATCCAAGTGTTATTTTTTGGCGGTAAATCCTGACCAATGTCAATTGAGTATCAGTAAGATTAACAGCGAAACTTTGTTATTCTTTGGCACGCGTTTGTGTATGTTTGATGACATCATATATTGTAGAAAAGTTAGTTTAAGTTCCTACGAATACAACTCATTCAACAAAATATTGATCAAGATGAATGTTTACTTTAACAAGACCAGGGCCGTTTTCGTTTATCGCGATCAAGGTTGAAACAGTCGGACCAGAGTTGTTTGTTTATGAAATAAGGTCCGATACTGGCCAACCTTCACAAAGCCTTGCAAGGCCAGCATAAACTTTTGCAGGTCGGCCAGGATTTACACCTGAAAATTTACATTTAAAAACAGACGAAACAGTTGATCCGCATAAACAAACAGTCCCCAAGACTTAAATCAACCTGAAAGTCATCCTCGGAATTATAGGGGGTCATGCTCACTTGTGTTCTGTGCACCCCAGGAAAATGTCACGACAAACGGAAGGCACATGGTTAGCTAGTTGATAAGTTTCAGGTAAAAAAAATGACCCATTGCTAGACCGATACTTGTCCTTTGAAGATTATCGAGGAGCAACACCCAACTTCAAAACCAATCAGTTTAATTGTAATGTCGCTAGAGATTCTTTAGATTCATGTACATCAAGGGATCGGATCATCCACAAAGTATAACGTGGCACTTACAGAGCCTTCAGTTTCGTCATGACATACAGTATTCTATAGGGATGCAGAGAGTATGAGAACGTAACTGCTGGAGTTTCGAGGATGCTTGTCAGTAGATATACAGTTAATTTAATGAACAGAAGAGTAGGTGTACTGTAATTTATACATAACTTTTTTCAAAATGTATTTTGTGGCAAGATGATTTCATACCCATATGGATAGTATGTAAATATGCATCGATTGTTCAAAGTATTTTTTTTTATTATTCCAAGTTTAGTGGGATATTATGTACTAGTTTAGATGTGTCCATCTGTTTAGATCTGTATACACTTTAGTAACTGCCCAGAAATGCTTTGATTTGAACCAAATTTGGTACACACATAAATGATTACGAGTCTCAAGCTAATTTCTATAGGTATTAATTACTGTATAGCGGGAAATTTTCGCCTCAGTTTAAGTTTTGCCTTTTTCACCCTCCGTAATGAGGGCGAATTTATCATTACATCGAACAGAAGTAAGCGATAGTATCAACACAATACTCAAATGTGAAGGGGGAAACTGACATTTGGCAAAAATGGATTTTACCAGCAAGTGTGAAAATTTGGGTGAATGTTTCCTCGTATACAGTAATAAGTCTACATGATGTACTTGATTCTGATTTGTTGAGTATTAACTATTTCACCCCTGAAATTTCATAATGAACTATTCCAACCTTTAAATTGGAAGAGTGTATTCAGGGGTGAATGAGTTCACACACAAAGTGGCAAGCATAACCCAGCTTTCACCACTGTGGACCAAAATGGACTCATCCAGATAATTGTATGGTAGAGTCTACTAAGGTTACCTAGGGATGAAAGGGTTAAGTCACATGATAAGGTTGATCCCTAATGTCATGTATGCATGTTGTGTATCATTAATAAGGCTATCAAATTCTGATTGTTTACTGGTTTCCATCTTTCTATGAAGTAAATGCCCCTAAAAATGTCAGCTTAATTGTTAATTCATGTTTTAGAGTATATGCAAAATGTACAATAAGTATGAACATCTCAACCATTGTCCAGAGCTACAAAATTGCATGAAAGTGAGGGATATATATTCTACAAATTTGTTTGTTTTTCTAAATAAGGGAGATAAATTTGTACATGTGTTAGGTAGCATGTAATCTGAAGTAAAAATGTGCAATAAGTCCAAAAACAACAGCACTTTTCATATTTTATTTTTAAAGTACATTCATTGTTTTTGCAGCAGAAAAATCGTCCACATCCTATACATTACATCCAAGAAAGATGGAGGCATTGGAGGTTGGCTTCAGCTGTGTATACTGTTTCTATGCTGCCCCACTGCGTCACCAGCTCCATTTACACTGTTACGATAAGCACACAAATCACCCAGCGTGTCTCATGGAATTTACCAAGGACACCACTGTGATGGACTTTCTTGGGGACAAATCTCTTATGAAATTAACTGACAAGGGAAAACCCTTAAAATCTGAGCTGGGTAATGGCAAGAAGGAGATGTTTTCAGACAAGGAGCGTGTGCAGAGAATCATCAAGTGGAATAATGACCCTGCTTCAGAAGACAAGGAGGATGTCAGTTTAAGAGGAGAAGAAACAAAAAAGGGAGATAACTGTCTTGACACTAAAAATCAACACGAAGAACTTCCTATCAAAGACAAGTCGTTAAAAGAGAGTGGGGTTGCTAAGGATGTAAACATTGGTGTTCTGTCTGTGCAGCCTCATAAAGTAACGCTGTCTCATTTCTCCACTCAGTCAGACAACGAGGAGGATAGGGTTACAAAGACCGTCTGTCCTGCTGATAAGCCGGTGGCATCCAGCAAATTACGGATATGTAAACCCTTCTCCAACCCCCTGACCCCTCTGGTAGCCAGTCTAGGGGCCAGTCAGGTCAAGCTCCACGACACATTCCAGTCTAGTCTGGACGATCTGGACACAATCCTGTCAAACTTCGGGGTCCGAACCCTGAACATGGACATGCTGACAAGGAAACAGTTCACGGACTATATTCATAGATTTGGCAACAGCCTTCAGCAAATGTGAGAGAATTGATTGACATCATTTTGTTATGTTTATCAGAAATCCTTCAAGTAAAATGAAAGTTGTCAATTTGACCCATTTGTTTTGCAAACAGTGTGAAACATGTAATATTGTCAAAACGGTGTTTGTTGGTGTAGATCTAGAGCTTATGCCAATTTTGCAGAATTAGAATTGATGGAATCTCACCTGAGGGAACATGATTTGATTGAACATGATTTGATTGTCAGTATTTATAAAACAGGTTTTGTTTAGGTTGTAGATATGTGTTAGTATTGAATGATGTTTCCAGATTTAATCTACGTTTGTTTTTTGTTTTTCTGGGTTTGTTTTGTTTAGTTATGATTATGATGAACATGATCATGTCGGGTAAAGAAATCAAAAAAGTTGTATTAGTTTTCATGAACGTTCATGTCATTGTGAAAAGCATGGACAAAAGAGCTAATGTCATTTTTTGTGTTTTATTGTATGTAAATGTGGTTTAACCATGGAGTTTCCTCTTGTTTAACCAAAAGTATTACAATGTATTCCACTTGATGACATATTACTAGACGTCACATTTTGATGAACAGCATGTGTATCATTAACACTCTCTATAATGTATATTGTATGTTGTAAGTTAAATGGCAAGGTGTACAAAATAATTCATCACTCGTAAAAAAAACATAAGTGCACAGCCTTATATCTGAAACAACATGGAAATTAAAAACGGATTTAAAGTATACGGTTCAAAGTTTAATAAGGGCAATTTTAGTTTTCTCTAAGGTTGGTACAGGTGTATAATTTGACATGTTAGGAATCTGATACGATTTGAATCCGAAATGGGTTACATTTTCTGGAATAATAAATATGGTCTCTGAAAAGGACTTATATCTGTACCAGTATGTACCCTGTAAGTCTCAGAAGATTTGATTACTTCAGGTCTCAAATAAACTCTTTATTTAGGAGCCATGGACCCCCAAAACAGTTCCTTTGGGGCCAGCAGGCACCTCCTTATGATAATTTTGCACCTCTAGAAATGGGATTTAGGCGTATCATCTCTTTTTAAGCATTTTAATTTTCCATTGGTGTTCTAAAATTTCACTTGAGGACATGCTGCCTGCTTCTAGTACGTGCAGGTATCTCAATCTATCTCTTTAAGCAGCCATTGCCCCTGAAATTTCTTATCAGTCTGTTAAAATATTCTCTTTGGTGGACAGCTGGCTCTAAATTGGAAAGGTGTAGTAATAGTTCTGACCATATATAAAACCAGTTAAAGAAAGAGTTCTTGAGATTTTGCAGAATTGAAGCATAAACCTGTTGAATTTGTATTTAGCTGACATTAGACCTTGTGTTATTCACAAATTGTTTAGAGTAGATAATTGAAGTTCATTTAATGTAAATAATTCTTCTTTTTCTTGCTGAATTTTATTTCTACTATTACTTCAAGTGCTTTATTTGTTATTTAATTTCCCATTATTTCAGCTATTTGTTCAATTGAAAGTGTAGAAAACCATATCATTTCCGTGTCACTGTTTGATTTTCACAGGTCAATATTTATGTTTCCTTCGTTTAAAGTGTCGGCTTGGCAGATTATCAAAATAAATGTATTTGTTACATGTATAATATTTGAATGTCTTAAAATGTCAGCAATTAACAATAGATTTTAGGTAAGAAACCATTTTTTATCCGTATTGCACAGTATTTCCAAGAAAGGTAACATGAGTTATCTCCCATTTTCATGACATTCTAATAGGTTATGGCCATATCTCCAACTAACACAGCGTTTTTTCCCTGGTAAGGAACCTCTACACTCCATTTGCCTCTCTGTCCAATGAATGTTCTATAAAACTTTATAAGATAGTGTTTTCAATAACAGTGATTATTGAAAGACACACTGTTTTATTTGCTTAAGCGATGCAAAAAAAAAAAAATAATAATAATAATTTGAGGTTCTTATATACTGCTTTATCACAACCTAGTTTGTAGGTCGTCTCAAAGCAGTTCACAAATTATTATCCGTGGTTATAGGGCCTTTGCAATCAGTCAATAACTTTCTTAACTCCCTGCTATATTATGTAGATATTGAAGATTTTTAACCAAATCACTCGCCCCAAGTTTGTGTCTGATGCACAAAGCTTTTGAAGAATTATCATTAGACTGAACTGACTTAGGATCTTACCTGAAATATCACATAATGACATCACGCTGCCGTATAAAGGTCTGCACCTTTTTTTTTTTTTGCAGACATATTTCATATTTTACAAAGTTTGATTACCTGAAAATTATCTGTTTACATATTATTTTATATGTTCATGTGAAGTGTGAACAAATCAAAAAGCCAACAAACCTTAATATAAATACGATATTGAATATATTTAATCTGATCAAAATGCAAAACCTTGTTATGAATGTTGATATGTTATTATTCTGTGAACAAAATTTTATTTTCAACAAAACCATTATTTGCATACACCACTCACAAATGCCTCAGAGGATTTTTTTCTTTTTAAAAGTGGTCAATAGAACTTAGCTTTCGTTTGTAACGATAAAAAAACACTTTTTTTGTTAACTCATTCAGCCCTGAAGACATATTTGAACTCTTCCAACCCAAAGGTTGGAATAGCACATTATAATTTTTCAGGGGGGAATGAGTTAATAAAACTGAACAAAGCCTACATGTGTATTTGTTACTATATGTTATATTTATAATAAATTACCTCTTATTTGAATTAAAATTTCAATTTTTTCTGCAACACAATGTCTTATCCAAATCCTGATAGATAGAAAATAAATAGATGTTAATTCATTCTTGCATTTGCAGATCTTGCATTTTTCATTCTTGAAAAAAATATTAATAATCAATAGATGACGGGAAAGACCTTTAAGATATAGTTTTCCTCATAAAAAGCAACTCATTACTTACTGAAGCGCTCCCAATCCTTTTTCTGGTCTGAACACCCCAGACTAGTAAACTAGGTAGTTTTCACTGATCTATTATGGCCGTATTTGAGACATCTAGAAGGTTCTACAATCATGCTTTCTTTGTTGAATTGTTATGTGCCCAGGGCATTTATTACATCAAATATTGTAGAAGTTTCCTCAGCTCCTCATGTTCCCAGTAATAACATATAATTAAGAATAGTAATTTGAGGTTCTTATATACCGCTTTATCACAATCTATAGTTCGTAGGTCTTCTCAAAGCGGTTCACAAAGTATTATCCCTTGTTATAGGGCCTTCGCAATCAATATCTTTCTCAATTCCCTTGGTAGCCTACAGCCGGAGCTGCCATTTCGGCGCTCACAGCTAGCATTTAACATTGCTAGCACTGCCCAACCACGTACTCATTTACAGCTGAGTAGACTGGAACAAGCAGAGTAAAGTATCTTGCTCAAAGTTACAATACAGTGCCGTGCTGTAATTCGAACCCTCACCCTTCGGTCACGAGCCCAGCTTCCTACCACTTGACTACTGTGCCTCCTAATAACCAATTCTAATTTTGAAGAGTTATATGCAAAGTCATAAATCCAACTGTGTTATTGGTTATGTCATCCATTGTAGAAATGACCAGAAATTGTATTAAAGGTATAAATCTGTTATATGCCTTTCAAACGACAAGAGAAATTATTATCAAAACACATATTACAGAAATTACTCATTTAAAATGAATCGCTAATAAGATGGATGACAAGTCTACTGTGGTACAACCTCACACTTCTGGGTTTTCTTTCAATAGTGTCTGAATTACAAACGTTCATTGTTTGTTGTTAACTATACATATTTTCTGATATGACTGGTGATTTCTTTAGTTACAGGTGAAAGTATTTCCACGAAAACATCTTTTTGTTTATTTTGTTGGTTTTTATTCATCCTTTTTTCACCTTTGTTTGTGTGTGTAATTTTGTTTTTCTTTCTCTCTTTCCTTCAGTGCTTTTCACAATTTGTTTCATTGTTATAACCCTTTTATTTCTCAGAAGTAGTGCTGTATTTATACAGTAGTTATACATACATGTATATAGAAAGTATGATCCCGTAAATACTTGTGTGCTGTTCCAATAGATCTGTAATTATCATCCCGTCATTTCTGTAAGTGAGTCACAAACTAATCCATGCCAGAGGTCAAGAAGACCTTAAACCACTTGTTGTTGCCATATTATATATAAATTGTATACACTCATGTAGTATTTTACTTATTGTATGTATTGCCTGAAACCTTATCATGTTGTCATTTAAGGCCTAACTAACGTTAACTCATTCACCCCTGAAGACACATTTGAACTCCTCCCATTCAAAGGTTGGAATAGTTCATTATGAAATTTCAGGGGTGATAGAGTTAACATACTGCTACAATATAGTGGTCATCATGTGTTTTCAACATAACTTCAGTTATTCTTGACTCATAGAATCTCACAATTTCGCATCAGGTCGAAATCAATTTTGTCTCAGTATTTTTCTGAATGATACACCAAAACGTCAAAGCATCAACTAGAAATAAATAGTTTATCCCAGAATTATTTTTTGGAGTAACAAGTTCAAGTTGAGTGATCTGATTCACATGACAGGGTCAGTAGATTTTGGTTTGGCATACATACATTGATACCAGTGAATTTTATATATGTTTTTGAAGCGTCATGTTTGATGTGGATTATGTTGTTTGTACATCAAAATATGTGAAGAATGTTTATAGCGAATGATGGAGAAGTGACTAATGAAGCATCGAGTCACTTGTTACCGACTCGGCCAGAGGGAAGTGACTAATGAACCATCGAGTCACTTGTTACCGACTCGGCCAGAGGGAAGTGCTCTTTAGTTCAATCTGCAGAGCACTGGACCTAGTCTGTGGTCCTGGATTCATCTCCAATATAGCTGAGGCACTCCGAAAAAAATACCATTGGTTACAACCTGTAAAGCAGGCATTTTGGCAAAAGTGACTGAAATCCATGAAATTCATGGTCGTATTAGCCAGTCAGGTATTGTCGGAGACATTTTTTAGTGTATATAAACTCTAGTTGTGGTATTTACTCATTCACCCCTGAAATTTCATAATGAACTATTCCAACCTTTGAATTGGAAGAGTTCAAATGTGTCTTTAGGGGTGAATGAGTTAATGTTCTGGTCTGTTTCGCAATAGCTAGGCGCTATTTTTTTGTCAGTGATGGAGTCGAGTAGAATTGTGTTTGAGATCATGTTTTAAATGCCTTATTTGGTCCGGATCACAGTTGTTCTATGTGAATATTCTGCTATAATATTATTACCAAAGACATTTTGTTAATTCTGAGGTAGTTCTATGTTGATCTGTAACACTTAACACTTGATTACACTCGTTTCCTTTTCTTATTTGCAACATACATACTGATAATTGTAAACATCAGTGACATTACCAAATCACACACTTGTATGTGCATTTCGGTGATGGCACTTGGCAGTTAAAGATCATACAATGGTGACATTATAAGTTTTGTGATATGCATGGGGTATTTTTTCAATCAATACTCCAGCCTGCCAGCTTAAGTATGAGTGATATCACAAATTCCAATGCATGCACAGGATGGTCAGTAATGTATGTACATGTATTAAAAAATCACGCCCAAGGTTGTGAACTTCAGTGATATCCCTTAATTTAGTGAGGTCACAAAAACTGACACATGCACGTCAGCGACACATGAAATTACATATGTGTATGGGAACTTCCGTGACATCATGAAGTCATACATCGTGCATGTGAACGTCATTGTCGTCACAGAATTCATACACGTGCATATGAGTGGCATTGATGGCACATTGCAGGTAAAGAACATCCAATGTATTCCGACTGCTGTCAGTTGCATAAGGGTTTCTGTCAACCAATGTTACAACCGTGCAGCTCAAGTTTCGGTGATATCACGAATTCCTATACATGCGTGTAAAATTCAGTGATATTACAAAAATCACATGCTTGTGATCATGTTAGTGACATCAGAAAATGCCACACATGCATTGTTAAATGTACATCAGTGATACCATGAAATCACATGTGCATGTGTACGATAGTGATGTTGCATAATCACACATGCATGTGTACGTTTGTGTGGGCACCCAGACATCATCAACCTTGTTAGCCGCACGTGGGGAGTTAAAGTCCGGCAGCTAAAATGAAACCATCTTATTTCTATTGTTGGACTTGTGTTGGTGTTCAAAATATTACTATGCATGTTATGATTGCCAGACAAGTATTGTTAAGTCATTTATCCCTTCAATTTCATAATGAACTATTCCAACATTTGATTTTGGAAGAGTTCAAATGTGTATTCAAGGGTGAATGAGTTTACCATTGACATTTTGATGGAATCGAAAATTTCTTCAGATTGACTATTTACATAATGTAACCATTGTCATTTTGCTGAATTCATCATGTTTATTGTTAGCAAGTGAAATGTTTTTTTTATAGAATTGTACCATTGACTTGTTGTTAAACATAATAATATTGTTTCCAGTCCCATTCTTGATGTTACACAAGTTTTTATTGGCCGGAGAACTACATCACATGACTTTTAATTGTTTTGGTTTTTTTCGGATCTAGGAGATTTTCTTCATTTAGCCGTTATCTTTGTACATGTCTATTGGACAGATCAGGGAATCATGAACATAGGGATCTAAAGCATAACTCTCGTACCCCAGAACATAAATAGATATTATGTATTAGGAAGTCACTAGAGTCATGCTCCAGTTTCTAGTTGTCATGATGTTCCAAACAGAAATTCACTTTTGTTACTGTCACAGACTTTGGTTTAACCCTTTCACCCCTATGTAACTTTAATAGACTCTACCATGCATTGATCTGGATAAGTCCATTATGGTCTACAGTGGTGAAAGGGTTAACCAACTGATTTTCATGTTTGTATGCACATTCTTGATTTTGTGGACCTAGTGGACTTGCATCTCCCTCACAAAGACTGTGTGAATTGGAAGTCTCTGCTAAAGTGTCAACATTTTAT